AACTGGGAAAAAGTGTTTGGTAATGACATGTCAGATAAGGGACTTATATCTAGAATTTATAAAGTATTTGAGCACCACAACAAGATAAAGGTAAATAATCCAGTTGAAAAATGGGCACAGGATATGAATAGACACTTCACCAAAGAAGACATTCAGATGGCCAACAAGCACATGAAGAAATGTTCAAAATCCCTAGGTCTAAGAGAGATGCAAATCAAAACAACTATGAGATATCATCTCACCCCAGTCAGAATAGCAAAATTTAACAGAACTGCAAGCAACCAATGCTGGCGAGGTTGTGGAGAAACTGGAACCCTTATTCACTGTTGGGGGAATGTAAAATGGTGCAACCACTGTGGAAGGCGGTATGGCGCTTTCTCAAAAAGTTGCAAATAGAGATACCATTTGACCCAGCAATTCCACTACTGGGAATATATCCCAAAGAGACCATAACTGACATCCAAGCAGATATATGCACACCTATGTTTATCGCAGCTCTGTTTACAATAGCAAGGAGTTAGAAACAACCTAGGTGCCCATCAACAAATGAATGGATAGAGAAGCTGTGGTATATTCACACAATGGAATACTATGCTGCATTGAAAAAGCAAGGAACTCATGCAATATTATTCAAAATGGATGAGCCTGGAGGACATTATGCTGAGTGAAATATCTCAGTCGCAAAAGGACAAATATTACATGGTGCCACTGCTGTAAAATGGGACTGATATCAGGGTGGGGGTAAGACTGAGAAAAACTGGATAAATTGTGTATACTGCACTGAAACAGATGAGGGACTGAATAATTTAAAAGCGATGTATGATAGGGTATTATGGTTATCACAAGAGTCCACAATTAAGGTTGCATAGTGGAATGTACTTGGGGTGGTGGGAGGGGTGCGGGGGGATTGTGTACCAGGGAGGGAGTCTTTCTTTTACTTTTGAAAGAGAGGAGCGAACTGGGGGGCAGCGGGAGAGGGCTGGGTGGGTAGAGAAGTGCAGCAATGAATGAATGGAAATCCAAATTCTCTGTAAATGTTTATTAAAATTATTTAAAAAAATCATAACTGCCACCCAAGCAGATATATGCACACCCATGTTTATTGTGGCTTTGTTCACAGTAGCAAAGAGTCGGAAGCAACCTGAGTGCCCATCAACAAACAAATGGATAGAGAAGCTGTGCTATATTCACACAATGGAAAACTACTCTGCACTGAAAAACAAGAAGCTCATGAAATATTACACAAAATGGGTGACCCTGGAGGACATTATACTGAGTGAAATATCTCAGTCACAAAAGGACAGATACTGCATAGTGCCACTGTTGCAGAATGGGACTGACTTCGGGGCTGAGGGGGAGACTGAGAAAGATGGGATAAATTATGTTCACTGCATTGAAACAGATGAGAGAGAGAACTGTTACAAAGGGTTATATGATTAGTTTTTATTGCCATGATAGGAGTCAAGAATGAAGGCTGCACAGTGGAGTGGACTTTGTGGGAGGGATTGTAGAACTGTGAACGAATGTTTTCTTTTACTTTTCAAAGAGAAGAGTGCTTTAGGGGGGAGGTTGAGCAGGGAGAAAAGTGCAACAATGAATAAATGAATGGAAATCCACAGTCTCTGTAAACTTTCATTGAAATTAATAAAACAATATTCAGCATAAAGATGAAAAAGACCCTAGGTGAGCCTTCTGTGGCTTCTCCTTCTGCCACGAGGAAACACAAGGTTCCTCTTAGGAGTGTCGGGATTGCCTCTTCCTCCAGCAGTGACAATGCAATGCCAGATCAGTGCAGCATTGGTGTATGCCCAGGGAAGCGCCCAGGCTTCATATTGGGTGCTAGTCAAGTTGGCACCCTGACATGTTTGCTGTTAGGTACTGTTGAATCAGCATAGCATGGTATGTGCATAGAACTGAACCTTCCCCTGTCCTGACCACACGGTGTGTGGTAGAGCCGAACTCTGCCCACACTGTGGTCACACTGTGCATGGTGGAGCTGAACCCTGTCCATAGTGTGGACACTGTGTGTGGTAGAGCTGAACTCTGTCCACATTGTGGACACACTGTGTGCAGTAGAGCTGATCCCTGTGTACACTGTGGGCACATTGTGTGTGGTAGAGCTGAACCCTTTTCACACTGTGGGCACACTGTGCGTGGTGGAGCTGAACCCTGTGGACACTGTGTGCAGTCGAGCTGAACCCTGTGGACACTGTGGGCACACTGTGTGCAGTGGAGCCGAACCCTTTCCACACTGTGGGCACACTGTGTGCGGTGGAGCCGAACCCTTTCCACACTGTGGGCACATTGTGTGTGGTGGAGCTGAACCCTGTGTACACCATGGGCACACTGTGCGCGGTGGAGCTGGACCTGTTCTCCTGTTTTCTAGCACAGGCACCATGTCAGCCCATCTCACTGAAGGTCTTCCTCTCCCACCCTGACCCTCTATTTGTCTAAGCATCGTGTCTCTCTCCAGGGACTTGTTCCTGGTATCATGCCCAGAGTACGCGAGACACAGTCTCACCATCTTTGTTTCTGAGATGTATTATTCTGTCTGCACTTCTTCTCAGACATATTTCTTTGTTCTTTTGGCAGGTCATGATATGTTCAGTACTCTTTACCAGAACTATAGTTCAAAGTTCTGCAGTTTCCACATTCTGTTGGGTCACCTTTCTTTGGGATAGGAACAAATATCGATCTCTTCCAGTCAGTTGGCCAACTGGTCGTTCTCCAGATTTCTTGGCACAACTTGGTGAGCACGTTCAGGGCAGCATCTGTTAACTGAAATATGTCAATTGGTATACCATCTATTCCTGGAGCCTTATTTTTTGCCATTTCCTTCAAAGCAGCCTGAACTTCTTCTTTCATCACCATAGGCTCTTGCTCATATGTTGTTTCATGAAATTCTTCTGTGTCTTCCAATTCCTTTCGATACAGTGACTCAGTATATTCCTTCCATCTTCTTTTAATACTTCCTGGATCATTTAACATTCTGCCAAAAGCATCCTTGATTATAGCAACTTGAGGTTTGAACCTGTTCTTCAGTTCCTTGTGAGGAGAGACCGGTCCTTGGAGAGGGCCATCATGCTTGGGAGGGTGGAGGGACGGTGCAAGAGAGGAAGGCCCTCTATGAGGTGGATTGATTCGGTGACTGGGATAATTGGAATGGGAGTGTCAGAGACAGTGTGATTGGCACAGGACAGAGCGGAGTTTAGGGCTGTTGTACATAGGGTCGCTATGAGTCGCAAGTGACTCGATGGCACATAACAACAAACAACAACATAGTTCAAAGGCATCAGTTCTTCTTTGATCTCTGTTCATTGTCCATCGTTCACACATGTGCACTAAAATCCCAGACTTCTAAGAGGAAAGCAGATGCTTGGTATAAACCAGAATGTTTGCCTAAATTGTCAGACACTTGTTCACTGGCAACACATGTGGACCCAGTGGGCAGGTGCTGGCTGAGGACCTTGCTGGCTGGCTGTTCTGAGGACAGACACCTGAGTCCTACTGTGTTAACACTTTCTTAAGCATACTCTAGGGAGCTCTGGTGGCTTAGTGGTAAGGAGTTGGGCTGGTGACCCAAAGAAACACCATCTGCTGGAATCCACCAGCTGTTCCAAAGGAGAGAGATGGGCAGTCTCCTCCTGTGCAATTTCTGCCTCTGAAAATCCTCTGGAGGGTCAGCTATGAGTTGGTTTGGACTTGATGGTACCTGATAACAGCCCATACACACTAATTCTTTATTTCTGTGAAAGATCAAATTTGTACTGGATAAGATTCTGACCTTGTTGTTATTAGGTGCCATCAAATTGAGCATGACTCACAGCGACCCCATAAATAGCAGATCTGGAATCCTTAGCATCCTGTGCTGTCTTCACATTTCCTGACACGCTAGAGCCCACTGTGACAGGCACCTGTTCATAGGCTTTTCAAAGGCCTGCTTTTTAAGAAGTGGATGGCCAGTCCTGCTTCCTAGTCCATCTTAATCTGGGAACTCTACTAAAACCTGTCCACTATGGATAACCCTAATGGCATTTGACATACTAGTGGCACAGCTTTCAGTATCATAGCAACTCATAAGTTGTCTTTGTACAGCAAACTGACAGACGAGCGCTGTACAGTATTCTTCAAACACAACAAGCATCTAATAACTACGACCAAGAACCCAGTTGACTTATAACCACAGAGACCTGCCCATCATGTCCTGGTTTAAGCAAGAGGCTTCAAGTCCACAACTGTTAATTAAGTCAAAATGACTCATCAGCCTTCAACTTCCCAGAATCCCACTGCTTCAGATAGAAGCTCCATTTGATAATTCAGTAAGCCACCAGGAAATGACATAGTGATAGTAAATATAAAGAAATAAGTATGAATTTTCTCCATTTTATTCTTTTACTGACTAGGTTATGATTTCCTTTTCATTGACAGCTGTATTCAGAATACTAGAGAATTTAATTTGAGAAAAATAACTTTATTGAAGTCTGTTCAGCTGATAGCTTAAAATAGGTTGAACAAACACCTCACAATTCACTGCCACAGAGTCACTCTTGACTCTCCAAGGCCTTAATGACAGGACACCATCTCATTTTTCTTCTACTGAATGGCTGGTAAGTTCAAACCACCATTTAATAGTCCACAGATGAAAGTACTGCACTGTCAGAGTGCCTTTACATTGTAATAATAATCCATGCCAAAAATTTATATGAATGTATATAACATTTTACTCTTTAATTTTAAAGCAGTTTTGCTTGATTTTATTCTTCTTTTGTGCATGGCTCGTGGTTTCATGCCACAAGTGGTCAGCTCCTGTAAAGGTTACTTCTCCTAGGAAATCTGTGGGCTGTTTATACCTTGTCCTGTAGCCTCGCTGTAAGTCAGAATCTACTCCGTGCCACACAGCAGCAGCAGAATTATACATGGCATGTTACAGTTTTCATTTTTTTTCTTCTCTTACTGCCCTTCAGTGTGTTTTTTTCATTCTCTGGTCTTCCTCTGTCCAGGTGGCCCAGGACGCTGGCGGGCATCACCGCATATCTCCAGTGCACACGAAACACCCATGCCAGTGGCATCTACCCTGGGAACCCGCAGGATGAGAGAAAGGCTTGGCGCCGATGCGACCGGGGTGGCTTTTGGGCCGATGATGATTATTCTCGATGCCAGTATGCAAATGATGTCACTAGGGTCCTGTATATGTTTAATCAGGTGAGCAGAAAATCTTCCCATGTATTGTACGTTCTGGGTAAAACATGCCATTCATACCAAATGCTTATTGTTCCCCTTGCTCCCAGCTAGCTGAAATAGAAGGATTTGGGATTTGGACTTCCTCTTCTAAAGATCTGTCTTCAGAATGAGCCCTGTGCTTCTTAACTATTACTCAAGGACCTTTAGAAGTCCTGGTAATAGTTGTGGATTACCATCAAGTTGCTTCTGAAAAATGGACAGTCTCCTCCTTAATGAGTTATAGCCTGGGAGTCCCGGGGAAGGTCAGCTATGGGTTGACCTTGGTTTGATGGCATTGAGTTTGAGTCTTTGAATTGAGTGACCCTCATGTGACAGCAGAATAGAATATTACCTCATTAGTCTTTCTTGGCTGTAAATTTTAGTATTTTTTTTTCCTTGCCTCTACTGAGCACCCTTGGCTCCCAGCACACTTCCTCTAAGACAGGTTGGTTGTTTTGACAGTCCCTGGGATGGTCAGTAATCTCTTCACAAACACCACAGTTCAGCAGCATCAATTCTTCTTCCTCGGTGTGATTTCCATTAAAATTCCTTCCAGTTTTCTCAGGTTTGACACAGCATTTTCAGAAGGTCATGTTGAATAAAGGATACGTATTTTTATTCATTGCCGTGTTTTGGATGCAAAGCTAAGATGTCAGAATGTGGTCACGCATTTTGCTAAGTGCTGCTTTCTTCCTTTTAAACGTAGATGCCTCTCAATCTTACAAATGCTGTTGCGACAGCCCGACAATTACTGGCTTACACCGTGGAAGCAGCCAACTTCTCTGACAAAATGGATGTTATATTTGTGGCTGAAATGATAGAAAAATTTGGAAGATTTACCAAAGAGGAGAAATCAAAAGAGGTATTTTTTTTCTGCTTTAGATTTATAGCATCAACAAATAGATTATGTGATAAGAGCTAAATTGTTATATTCAGAGCCTCCTTTATGTTTGCTGTTCTTAAAGTAGATATTTAATATTTCATGGCTTCCAGAATGTTCTTTGAAAAACTACAGCAGCGTCTTTTATTGTGATCTGGTTGGGTTTTTTATTTTTGTTGCTGTTATTTGGTGAGTGGGTGTGTGTTAGGTTAACTTGCCATTCTTGGAAATTAAGATTCTATGATTGTTACACCTGGATTGTGTCCCATAGAAAGTTATATTGACATCCTTGGCTCAGTATCTGAAAATATGAGCCTGATTGGAAATAAGTGGAATTTGTGTGTGTGTATGTGTGTGTGTGTGTGTGTGTGTGTGTGTGTGTGTGTGGTTAATGTTATTGTTAATGATGTCATTGTAGAGTTGCATGGACCCTCAACCAGGTGGATTGACATGGTAACTGCTACAGTGGGCTCTTGAATGTCAGAAAGTGTGAGGTTGGCGCAGGACAGAACAGGGTTCAGATCTTTTGTTCATGGGGACGCTGTGAGTCATGCTTGACTCAGTGACACCTAACACCACCACCACTACTGCAAATTATCTGTTATAAAAAGATACACAGAGGGCGGAGGACAGGTGTATTTGCAAGCCCAGGAATGTCGGGGAAAATCTGCAGTTATTAAAAGCCAAGAGGCATTGGTGGCTTTGCTGTAGGACTCTCACCTTCCACACAGGCTGTCTGTGTTCAGTGCTTGGCCAGTGCACGTCCTGTACAGTTCTCTCTCTCTCTCAATGTAGAGTTCCGTGTTACTATACCGAACAGGTTCCTGTGGCACTGGAGGTCACTGCTGGCGTAGTTTGTGACAAGTTGTGCTGCTAACCCAAAGACCCTGCGTCTCTGGAAGTTTGAATCCACTGGCAGCTCCTTGGAAGAAAGATGGGAGTTTTCTCTTGTATATTTTACAGACGTGCAAACCAAGCGGAGAGTCAGCTCCAAGTTGGTGCCAAGAGGACAGTAATGAGTTTTGAGTGTTGACTGACTGTGATGGATTAGGAAGAAAGACCTAGTGATCTACATCTGAAATTCTGTCAGGGAAAATCCTGGGGGTCACCAAGGTCAGATCTGTAGTCCGGCTTGTGAAGGGCATAGGTTTCATTGTGCATGCAGCCGTGTGGACAGCAGTAACCAACAACCCAGCTAAGAACTAGGAGGAACAAAGATGGAACTGCTTATAGGGCAGGTGCCCTGAGTTCTCATTTAAAACCTGTGAAACTGTGAGAAAATAAACGTGCGTCCTTTAAACCCACCACTCTTGGTATATATTTGATACAGTGTCACCAGAATGTTAAAACAGTGATATAGCTGATAAAGCCGTTGAGAAAACCTGTCTCTACATGGTGGGCCAGCCAGGACTGGTTCATCTCGGGCTTTCTGGGATTTCTCTCTCTGTACAACCATGCATTCATCCGTCTCAGATCTTTTGCAAAGTATCCTAACTGCTCTTACAGTTTTCCAGAGAAACATAGGCTGTTTAAGAACCTGCAGAAATTATAAATTACTGGAATATGCAATTTGTAAATGTTGAGATTTTTTGGTTAATAAGTGAAGTTTAACAATTCAAATTAACTCTGAAGTTTTTGTTAGGCATTGCATCAGTTCCAAATGGTAGAGATTTATATCCAAGACAGTAAGCAGCTGTGTGATTCTATGCCTTCTTCGCCACTGCTGCTGTGTTAGATGCAGCCACTCTTCTCAGTCCATGTTGTGAAGAGTCTTCTGTGAAAGCAGTGGTTCCTGATCTTCTCCAGCAAGTGCTTCAAGCTCTCCTTCCTTTAAAGCAAGCAAGGTGTTGTCATCTGCATAATGAAGGTTGTTGATGAGTCTTCCTTCAGTCTTGTTGCCACGCTTTTCTTGATAAAGTCAAGCTTCTTGAATGATTTGATCAGCATACAAATTGAATAGGTATGGAGAAAGGGTACAGTCCTGACACACACCTTTCTTGATTTTAAACCATGTATTATTCTCTTGCAAGAAACTGTTTGCATGACAGTTTCTTGGTCTAGGTATAGGTTCCACATGAGCACAACTAAGTGTTTCGAGATTCCCATACCTTGTAGCAAGTCACATAGTCAGATGCCTTTGCATAGTTAATAAAGCATAAATAGATGTGCATCTGACGTTCTGTGCTTTCAGCCAAGATCTGTCTGCCATCAGCAGTGATGGCTCTGGTGCTGTGACTTCTTCTAAATCAGCTCGGACTTCTGACAGTTCTTCATTGTACTGTTCTAGCTCATTTTGGATGATCTTTAGCAATATTTTGCTTTTTCGGATATTAAGGACATTGTTTGGTAATTTCCACATTCTGTTGAATCTCCTTTCTTAGGAATGGGATCAAATATAGATCTCTTGGTCAAGTAGCTGTTTTCCAGTTTTGCCGGCACAGCCTGGTGAGCATGTCCAGGGCTGCGTCTGTTAGTTGAAATATGCCAATCGGTGTCTGATCGATTCCTGGGAACTTATTTTTCCCCAGTGTCTTCAATACTGCTGGAACTTCACCCTTCATTACCATTGGTTCTTGTTCATACGCTGCTGCTTAGCCTACTTCTTGAGTTATTTCATTACTCTTTTCAGTATTCATAATTCTTTTTGGTGCAGAGACTTTGTACATTCCCTCCATCTAAGTTTTTAAAAAATAATACTTATATGTTGACTTGCATACAAAATACATACACACTGTGTTTCATTCACGTACACTGTTCAACACATTCTATTATTCAGGTTGTGATCATTCCCATACATTGTGTTTTATAAAATTAATCACCTCCATCTTTGAGTCCCTGAGGATTTTTGCCACAACACCTATCAGTATTGCAGCTCCAGGCTTGAATTTGTTTTGAGTTTGTTCAGCTGGAGAAATGCTGAGCAAGTTCTTCCCTTTTTATCCTTCAGTGCCAGCTCTTTGCACATCCCATTAAGATTCATGTCATTGTCCTTTTGAGCTGCCTTATGTAATCTCCTGTCCAGCTCTCTGACTTTGGCCTCTCTTCCCTCTTCCTTTTATGACTTCTTGATGCTCTTGTGCAATTTTCAGTCTTTTCTGATAGCCATTTTGGTCTTCTCTTTCTTCTCTGTATTTGCAGCGACCTTTTTTCTGTCTTCTTTAATGACATCTTTGACATCACCCAACAGACGACATCATGATAGATGGAGAAAAGATTGAAGTTGTCAACGATGTCATCTTCTTGGATCCACAATCAGCACCCTGGATACCAGGGGTCAGGAGATCAAGAAATGTATTTATTGCATTGGGAAAGTCTGCCATCAGGGACGCTTTCCACATCCTGAAGAGTGATGATGTCAGTTTAAAGACCAAGGTGCACATGACTCAAGCCACGGTCTTTACAGTGACCTATTATCCCTCTGATAGCTGTGCATTGAATAAAGAGGACAGTAAAAGAATTTCTGCCTTTGGGTTGTGGTGTTGCAGGAGAGAACGAAATATCCTAAGGACAAGCAAAAGAATGAACAAACAGATGTATCTTGGAGGAAGTGTAGCCAAAGTGCCTCTTAGAAGCAAGCATGGTGAAACTTCATCTCATTCATTCTGGGCATATTGTTAAGAGCAACTATTCCTTAGAAAGGGATATCAAACTTGGTAAGGTGAAGGTTTGGCAAAAGATAGGAGAACCATCAGCAAGAGGGATTGACCCAGTGACTGCAGCACTGGACTCCAGTATGCCAGAGATGAAAAGAATGGCGCAGGACAGGGCACCAGCAGCAAAAAGAGTAATAGCAAGCATGCTGTCCTTTTGCAGGGACTGGTCCTTCCTAATAACACATCCAAAGTATGTGAGATGAAGTCTTACCATCTCTTTTGTTATGAGTTTATCAATATTATTTTATTTAAGGAAAAAGAAATAGCCAAGCTCAAGTTCTCAGAACGAATAAAGGAGATAAATAGTGTTTTCGACTAAGTTTAAAGAAGTAGATTATGTTCTTAAGCTGTAAATTTCAGGCTCTGTAAGGATTTTATATAGAGTCTTTTGTGATAATAATCATGTATAGAGAATTAATTTTAGAGGAATAGAGAACGTGGGTCGATTGACAAGCTGTAGCACAAAGAAATGTCAGTGATTGGTCCAGGAGTTCTGCAGCTGGATTAGGGTAGGACTGCAAACAGCCAACAGCCCATGAGTCTGGACTTTCTAATCTGACGCCTTTTGTACATATCACATTTACTTTCTAGGTACAGTGTTCCTCTGTCTTGATATTTCATTGTTATTGTGTGCCTTTGAGTCAAAACAGACTCTATTTTAAACTCTCAAGTGGGTTTTCAGAGGCAGTAAATTGCATGGGAGGAGATTGCCCATCTTTCCCCTACAAAACAGCTAGATTTGAACTGTGTGTCTGTGGGATTGCAGTACAGCTTCTTACCGCTAGGCCACCAATGCTCCTTGAACTGGGTAAGGAACTGCACTGCCAACCCACAGGCTCCTGATTTGAATCTACTAGCTGCTCCTCAATTCCAAGTCAACTAGACATAATAACAAAACAACCCAGTATATAATGGTGGGGAAAATATTGGACTAAACAAAATTGAATGTGTTTTCTTTGTTGGAACATGTTAGAACCATCATTATGCTAACAGGTATTATAAATAATGTGTTTTTTTCTATTTGACAAAATAGTTATTTGTACCTTGTAATGAGTAATGGTAATAAGTTATGGAACTGTTGCCCTTGTTCTTTGCTGTGGATGAATTTGTTGTTGTTAGGTGCTGTCAAGTCAAGTACTGTTCACAGTGACCCTATGAACTGATGCCTGAACTGATTTGAACCCTGTTCTTTCCTGTGCCTTCCTCATCTTAAGCCCATTGCTGGAGTCACTGTGTCAATCTTTCTCCTTGAGGACATTCTTCTCCTTTGCTCACTTTCCACCTTTGCAACAGTCTCTCCTAGCAACATTGTGGTGTTATCCTAAAGTA